AAAAAAAAAAAAAAAAAAAAAAAAAAGGAGAAGGATTCGGCAGCAGGGAATCATTAAGTTATTAAAATTGGTTCTCGATCGGATGTCTGAGAGGCCAAGAACCGGTCTCATTAAATCCCTACGAAAGACCCAATCCGTAAGAACAATGGAGATCCGCCCCAGACGGACTCATCGACGACAAACAAACGTACGGCCGACCAAGAACAACGGACGACATCGACCAAGCCTTTGTACTTCGTAATTGAACGCGGCTGTCTTCTGCTCGCAGAAGTTTTAGACGCTTCCGACGCCTACAAAGGTCCGGCCAAAGGGACAACAGAACTCCGAAATTCCAGAACAGCGAAATTTTATATCCCCGCGGGAAATGAGCCGAAACGTTTATTTGAAAATTTCATTATTAACAGAGAGATCAAATTTCGTGGCGTGTGTCGTAATTATTTCAGAATGAATTTAACGTAATAATGATTCTACCGATTGATAAAAAAGAGATCAGACGGTTCGTTATTCAGAAACGAATCACGCATAATACTCGTAATATTTATTGGAAGAATTCAAACGAGTGAATTCGATTTTTCTAATCTCGATCAATAACGTACGGAAAAGGGTGCAAGATGTGAAGGGAATTGTCCGAAAAGGTAACTTGTGTGTTATAACCTGTGTTAAGGTAACTTGAAAACTAGACGAGGACTACCAAGGGACTGAAAACACAATTTTCCTACGGTTTTGAATACATATTTAATTGAGTAATATAATATCCAAAGTTTGTTGAAGAGAGGATGAAAATGGTTTTAAAGTGCACTCGTTGATCGTCCTCTCTACATTCCTGCGCCGCATTAATGAAGCAGTATCGTATCTCGAGCATTCCCAGAACTTTCTGGAAACTCTAATAACTGAAACGGAATTTAATAAAGCACGGTGCGAACGGCGTAATTGACATTTCGCATTCTATTTGCGTACGTCGCCCGAACGTATTCGACCTCGAATGAGCTGCACCCTCCGTTACTGCTGAATTCTACTAGCTTCCTACTGTTTCTCTTCTCTTATTTATCCCCCCTGTCGGTATCGATTTTCTTAAATCTGTCTCTCCGTTTCTTTCCTCCTCTTTTTTTCCATCGCTACCTACCAGATGGCCAGATAAATTAAATTAATTAGCGTTAACCGTATCAAAACAGTATGTCGAAACGGTCGAGAAAATTTGTCTCTTATTATTAGCAAAGTGAGGATACTTCCTGCGAAGATACATCCTCGCATATTTCTATAATTGTAGTAGAAAAATCTCTTCGTAAAATCCAATTCAATTGAATCTTCAAACGAAGCAGATTTAGTTAGATCCAGTTAAAGACTTAATTCCAATCAAAATCCTGAACGTCTTATTAAATTTGAAACCTTGCACCCAATCGAAATCTTGAATCTAACTTCGAATGGAAGCCTTGGAATACAGTCAAATATATTATTCTTAGTATCTGTCTCTCTATATTTTTCAGCCCGAAACGAAACGAAAAATCGTGTGTTTGTGCATCGTATTATTACGTGGGAAGAACAAAGTGGTTCACTTCGTTCGAAACCACCCGCGTCTTTATTTCAATTTCTACCCTCGATTAGCCGTCCATCGATACGAAAGTAGTTAATGGACGTTCGAAATCACATAAATTCTTCAATGATAACCTCACGGTGGTCGGTTTCTCTTATCCGGAGATTTACTTCCTTCCCCCGGTGGACCCGGTAATAGTGGTCCGCGAAATTTATTTGCGGATTCGTGGTGAAACGTTAATTCGAAAAGGTCGGAAGGGAGCCGGAGGAGGATCATTGAACGAGAGGCGGGCGAAATAAAACGAGAGTGCGCGGCGAAACGAAACGAAACGAAACGAAACGAGACGAAACGGGCAAGGGAAATGAGAATGACGGAGGAGGATAGAAGGACGAACGAAGGAAGAGAGCGTACGGAACCGTGCAGAAAGAAAGAATCGCGACGAGAGAGAAGGAAGAGGGGAACTGGCAAAAAAAAAAACCGCGGGTGGAAGAACCGGCGGGGATTTCGCTAATGTCATTTTTTTTTTTCAGGGCAATGGAAATTCTTTCCTCTTTAGCGTTTTAATCCACCTGCGTGCCTGTGTAATTTGATTCATTCTTGCTCTGCTTCTTCCTGCAGCGAAGGCTGCCTCGGCTTTGCACGAAAATTTGATGGCTACGGTAACCGAGGGGATAAAGCGAAATTGGAACCCGTCGCTGTTGCCAAGAAACAAAAGCTAAACGAATCCCGATACTTTCGCCCGTAAGCTTGGTGCTCCTCTCTCAAACGCGTGATCCGATGACAGTGTTCAGTACCCGTAGCAAAAATGGTACAGAAAGTTTGCAAATATATCGATCAATTTTTTTTAAGATGAACGCTTGAAGATCCGTCGGTATCGCTTGATTACACACATTGTTGCGGTACTGGTAACAGGTGAATATTTTAAGTTACTTCTAAGTTTACAAGTTTCTGGCTCTATTTTATCCAGGATAGTACTTTCCAATAGAAGTTTCCAAAAGCTTTTAACTGCAGCACACATAAATCTGGTAATTATAACCTAAATCGTGGAACAAGCCGATTTGTACACCGAGGGTGAATTAACGCGAATGTCTCGGGGAAGATAGCTGTTGCGAGAAGAAGGGGGCAAAAAGACAAACGACTAGGAGGTAAACGAAAGAGAATCGAGGCTCATTTCCCTTTCGCCGCGGCCAATGAATTTCGAGGGCGAATCGAGTCGGAGCGAACGAACCGCGGTACTACCGAAAGAGACCGGCAATATCCATCTTTCGTTTTCCTCTTTATGATTCCCTTCTTCTTCGTCTTTCCCCATCTCTCTCGTCCCCGTATTTCTTTCCTCGTCGAACGACCAACCTCCTACCGCCTTACGTGTTACAATTTCTTCCTCCTCGTGGAGACGACCTCCTCTCGTATTAGTATCAACCCTCCGATTTTCAAGAGCAGACGAACTTCTGATTTTATCGAGGCGGAGGAACGAAACGGTCGATCGAGCGGAAGGAACCGGAGATTGTCACGCAAATGAATTTGAAGTATTGCCATTTTACATTTCCACCTGTCTCCGGCCCGGTGACAATCCGAACGCAGCCCGGCGTTCTTTCTGATTTTCCATTATCTTACCTTTCGTTTGCATCGGTCGTCGCT